GGAAATAAACTAGAATAAGTGCAGAACATCTTCTATATGATTATTTAAATCAGATTTAATGTAGCTTGTAGGCAAGCAGCCAATGACAGTCTTCAGTTCTTTTGTTACCGACTTCAAGATATATTGCATGCATATATATGTGTGCATATATATACACATACTGTATGCATATATATGTGTGTATATATATATACACACAGACACATTTATTTATGTGTTTGTGTGTATATATATTTATATGCATTCATACATACGCACATGCACCCTCTAAATGTGTTATAGGTATGTATAATTGGAAAAAAACCCCACACAAACCCCAAAACAAAACCTATAAGTAATCTACTTGATAATTAAATTTCAAGTTTGGGCCATTGTTCTAACAGTTGTTTAACAGAAGTTCTGTACCTTAAAGTTTATAATGGCTTTTTTAATTGCTTTACCATAGGATGATTTTGAAAGTTCCTAGGATTGAGGACTAGAATTTTTCAAATCCCAAACAAATAGGTCTGTGAAGCAGTTCATTTTAATATAGAAGTACAGTGTTTGTATCAGAACAGGACACTTAAGTCTCTACTTCCAGGTACTTTTCTTTTAAATTTGAAGGAGTTTTCTTACTGAGTACCTTTACTGTTGTATATATTTTCTGAGAACTTGGAAAACAGTGAAGTTTAAAAAAGTATCATGTTTATTCCTCTGTGAGCTTCTTAAAAAGTGTATTGGGCAATTCAGTTGCCATCTTTATGGACAGACAGGAGATTATGTGAATCTGTATATTTGGGAAATCATGAAAGAAGGTCCTACAGATGTTAATTGCAGTGCATATTTGTTTATTATAAGGATCACATATTTTTTGAAGTTTATAGTTACTGTCTTCTTATATCTCTGATACAACTATTTATTTCCCATTCTTAGAGAAAGACGAGTGTATATGATGGAAACTGTCATGGTAACAACAGATTTGCAATGCACTATAATAAATGCTATGATGATAACAGTAAACATATTATTTATTTTGGTGAGCAAAGGGAAGTGTATGTGTTATAAAACAGGTTGCTCAGAGAAGTTGTGGATGCCCCATCCCTGGAACTGTTCAAGGCCAGGTTGGATGGGGCCTTGAGCAACCTGATCCGGTGGAAAATATCTCTGCCCATGACGAGGGAGTTGGACTAGATGATCTTTAAGTTCCCTTCCATCGCAAACCATACTATGATTCTATGATAAAAGAATGTGGAAAATTGTGTACAAAAGTGTCCAAAAGTTCAGCTATGTCTCAGTCTTTGCACTTGTGTCAAGGAAGAGTCTCTTTTTTGAAAAAATACTTTAAAAACGTAGTTGTTTTAAATTATTTATTAACTGAACCATTTTTTATTAAAAAAAAATCTATTGATCAAAGTTATTGTATGTGTCATTGTATGAATTTTATCTTTACACTTTTGCAAGAATAGTACATCCGATAGATTATTTTCTACCAGTTCTTTCTGAAATACCTCACTATTAGAATCATTAATGCATTTTTATGGCTGATCTTGTGGGTGGACCTGCTATCAGAAAAGTACTGCGATATTAAAGATAAGTGATGTGATTTGATTCCTTTGACTCATGTTATTCTTCCAGTATATGGTAGTACTAATTGCAACTGTGATGGCAGTCTTGAGAGTTGACATTTGCATGGATCAGAAAAGAGTGCTCTATCTTTGCATTACAATTAAGTGAGGATTGTAAGAAAACTCAAAATTATTTTCTGGATGTTAATAGTTAAGGAATATGCTTTGCAAGAATGTGTATTCTGTATCTTCTAACTATAAAGAGAACTATCAAGTAAACAGAGAGATGGATATCTATAAGATGAAATATATAATATACACATATAGTTAAAATTATTTACTGTGTTACCGTAAAAGATTTTTTTTTACCTGGCAAAGTCCTGTAAATTGGAGCATGCAGAACTTAATAGCAAAATCTTATTGAAATCAGAAGGAATGGTCACAGTCTTACCATTAGGCATGTCTTGATTTCAACATATAGTGATGGATTCAGCCAGAAAGATCATCTGTACTGTTACTATATATGTATAAAATCTTAAAAAATGTAGAGGGTTTGGTGGTTGGTATTCTATTAGTTAGTGACTTTCTGTTGCGCATGGTTCTTCATAAGAACAAATTGATTTGGTTGTTAATGGAATTTGAAAAAAGTAAAGATTGGATTAGTCAGCGCTGTTTAGTAGAATATAACACTAGTGTATTCACCTGCTGTTAATTTAATGTAAGTAAAACAATTCTGATAATCTCAATAAGTAGAAAATCTGAATAATTCTTTGCTTTGCCTTTTTCCCAGATTTTGCTTGTTTTATTGTGATCATTGAACCTAGTGTGTTCCATGAAGTAAGAAATACTTACCATTTGAACAGATTTCTAGTGTAGCTGTAATGCCAGTAGTAGCTGCCACATTGGTGGCTCGCTGCAGAAACCCCGCATATATCCTGCAGTTCTTGATATATTAGATGTGGTGTATCATTTGTATTGTTATGCTACCTTGCATGAAGAAATAGTAATGCAAAAGCATTTGAACATTCACTATCTCTAACACTGGGAGGCTATGGAAGTAATTGTAGAAGTTCTCTGTGGTTTTGTTGTTCCCTGGATCATAGGCTAAATCTGCTTTACTCTTCCCTTGCCATCGGCCCTGAGTCCCTGGTCTGCTTTATTATCATATAAATGTAGATGCTTTTCTGCAGTGCTTTTCTGGTTTTGTCTTCGCCTGTTCCTTTCTGTAGCTGAATACATCTCTCCCTATAAAGGCATTAAGTTCTATTACCATATATTGTCCTAGTCTCTGATAG